GAGATGGAGTTTCACTCTTTTCTCTGAGGCTGAAGTGCAATGGTGAAATCTCGGCTCATTGCAACCTCTGCCTCCCGAGTTCAAGCAATTCTCCTGCCTCAGCCTCCCAAGTACTTGGGATTACAGGCACATGCTAACACAACCAGCTAATTTTTGTATTTTTAGTAGAGATGGGGTTTCATGAACCATGTTGGCCAGGCTGGTCTTGAACTCCTGACCTCAGGTGATCCACCCGCCTTGGCCTCCCACAGTGCTGGGATTATAGGCATGAGCCACCACACCCAGCCTGGGACACAAATTCTTATAGCCTTTCGTTTTCTAATTGTTTAAATGAATACAAGTTTACGGTAGAAAATTTATAAATAAATTATAAAATCCACCTGTACGCTTACCACACAGAAATAACAACTAGTGAAATTTTATTTTACAAACAAAAAAATTTAGATACATGCTGTTCATGTAGTTTGTGTGAATTCTTGTCACTTAACATTGTAAAATAGTAGTTCCCCAGGCGATATTTAGAGGCTGTGTCGCATTTCATCATATGAATGTATTGCTACGCATTTAGTAACTGTCTCACTGTTGAATCTTTGGGCTTTTAGTTATTTTAAAATTTTGGATTCAAAATTTTTGGCTAAAGTTCTTATGTAGATGTGTGTCTACCTGTTTGGTTATTTCTTTGGGGTAGGCTACGAGGAAGAAGGAATGCATCAAAGACAAAAACGTTCTCCCCCCTCTGGTATGTGAGGCTAGGTTTGGTTTGGGGGCTTGGTACCTTTAAGGGGTTACTTTCGCCAGACATACATCTACCTGCTTTACACAGTGACCCTGTGAGATCGATACTAAGATTATGCCCATTTTACAGATATGCGAACTGAGACATAGGGAAGCCAGTGTCACGGGAGAGCCCAGGTGACTCCAGCCACTCTGAGTCTGGAGAATTTGGTCCCCCTCATGGTGCGTTTGCTCCCCAAGGACATTGCTGATATGTGGAGACATTTTTGATGGTCTCAAAATCTCCACCCTCAACGGAAGGGGTACTCTTGTTGCTATGTAGTGGGCAGAGGCAAGGGATGCTGCCAAGCACCCTACAATGCACAGAACGGCCCCCATAACCAAGGGTCACCCAGTCCAACACGTCAAGGGTGCTAGGGGTGAGAGATCATGATCTGGAAGCCCAATTTTTTTTTACCAGCGTCCCCCGATACCTCCCTCATTTTTTCACATTAGTCTTATAAGATGAAGGGCGAGGGAGATAGCAGGAAAGTTGTCTGAGCAGGTCCCATTTCCTCCCCTCTGACCTGCTCTCAGTGGTTGTGAGATGAGCGTTTTAATTGGGAGAGGATTTGAGACCTTAATTTCATTTGAAAGCTTATAGGATATTGATGACGAGCTTTCCTGACCTGCCTTCCCCCACAAAACCAACTTCTTCAGACACACAATCTAAGTAAGAAAAGTCTGCCTGCTTTGAAAACACAGTTGCAAGATAATCTCCCTAATGCTTTTTTTTTTTTTTTTTTTTGAGACAGGGTCTCACACTGTTGCCCAGGCTGGAGTGCAGTGGTGTGATCACTACTCACTGCAACCTTGACTTCCCGGACTCAAGCGATCCTTCCCCCACAGCCCGCCAAGTAGCTGGGACTACCGGTATGCACCGCCACACCCAGCTAATATTTTATTTATTTATTTATTTATTTATTTTTTGAGACGGAGTTTCGCTCTTGTTACCCAGGCTGGAGTGCAATGGCGCGATCTCGGCTCACCGCAACCTCCGCCTCCTGGGTTCAGGCAATTCTCCTGCCTCAGCCT